CGTCAAGAACAGGAGCTGGAAACCAGAGGGCTAGTCACGTTAAGACCTCCTGCCGCAGCTGTGGCAGACTTCTTCCCATCTAGGTTGCCGAGAGATCTTGCAGTACCGACAGGGGAGGGTCAAGCCCACCACCACTCCCTCGCCCTGCTGATGCGTTCAACTCTTCCCTCTCAGCCTCTGCCCTCCCACACACCCGCCCCATCCTGAACTCCAATTCTGGAGCACACAGTGTCTCAGAAACCCTTCCCTTTTCTTCTCTCAGAACACGAGCCACCCCACAGGGCGACACACGACTTTGGTTTGGGTGGCATTTACACCTACTGACCTTTCTACGCTGCATCTGCAAGCACCCTCAAAGGTACATTCCTTGTTCCTCTTTACCAGCGGATTAGAAAGAAGGTTTGTGACTACGTTACAGCTTCTTAGTTTCTAGTTTCCATTTCAGGGCTGACTCACTGACTCCCAGTGAGAGTAAATTTAGATTTTTGGCCAGTAACATAAACCCCAGAAGCGATTTTTTGGTATTGTTTCTTCTTGAATTTAGCCAATCAAGCAACCCTCAGCTTCAACACCAAAGTGTAAGCAAGGAAGGGCCTCTGTTCTTTCTGTGAATGTCTTAAAAGTTTACTAGGTGTCCTCTGAACTGCGCCAAGCGAGCAGCCTCAGGGCTACACTTGGGCTCTCTCGTGCTTGGGGGTAGACATTCCAGATGCCACATCTGTGGACGCTTAGCAGGGTTATGCTCTAACCCTTAAAGGATCATGTTCAAGGGGAGAGAAACAAAAACTAGCCTTTTCCTAACTTTTTTAAATAAAGGAACTGTACCGTTACAATGAAACAAGCACATGAAACTAGAGAAACCACACAGAATTCTGTCAAAGCCAGAAAGGTAACTGTAGTCATCATTAGCCTCTACCCAGAATGCTTAGACTAGAAATCATGAAATGATCATTTTATCTTAAGTGCTCCCAAATGTCAGTTGGAAGAATATTTGTCCTACAATTTCTACAGAGCTATGACAGCAGAGCTGCGTCTAGGATTCGAGTCAGACAACATGGGGTCCACAACTCCCTAACCAGTCACTGAAGCAAGTCCACCCATCCCAGTGTGATCCAGCTTTGCTTGCATTTATGTAGGTGCAGAGTATGCGACAGTGTACGGGGGCCTGAACAGCGCCGAACCCCTCAAACTGCAGATTACACATGGCTGCGAGTTGCTGTGCTAGTACCGTCTCTTTCACCTATACTTTTTAAAACCAAAATTAGCACATAAAGCATACTTAACAAAAGTAAACACGTAAAAGAAAAAGAAAAATATAAAAAAGCAGACCACCCAGTTTTAACATTAAGGGCTGGAGCTGTAGCTCAGTGGCAAAGTACTTGCATAGTACACTCAAGGCCCTAAGTTTATTAAGCATCACAAAACATGACAATTTTGTTTTGAGACAAGGCCTCACTGTCCAGTCCTGCCTGGCCCTGAACTCACATCTGCCTCCTGGGTGCTGGGGTTAAAGGCCTGTCACAACCAGCCTGAATATGGTTTTAAAACACATTGTGGAGGTTTGTTCTATAGACTCAGAAATGTCTTTAAAACTCTTTCGAATGTTAAAAGGAAATTATTTAATGGGTGGTAGCTTAAATTCAATTTGATTTTTATATTATTTGTTTAGTACTCAAGCATAAATATGTATGTTTTCTCCAATATTAAAATTCACCAATTAGCTCCTAACCTTTAAGACTCTTCCCACACCCTCAATGACCACTTTTTACCCCCTCTCCAGCTATTCAGTAGGGACTCTTTGGCCTAAGACCGGCATCCTCTTCTTTCTTTTCACTGTTGCCCGAGATGTACACTTTCTACAGTGTTCGGGCGTCTCGTTGGCTGTTCTTTCAATCTCATCATCCTAGAGGGTGCTCATTTCTCAAGGTACAATCCTCAGCTTAAAATTAGTGTTTAGAAATTCTGGACTTAAACGAATTTAATATTCTAGAGAGAAAGTCAATGGCCGCCCAGAGCAGAAATCATGAACAGTTCCCACAGCACCTTGCAAGTGCGACAAATACCTATGTAAACATTTGGTGATGTGTACACATGAGCAAGGCAAGAGACCAATCACAATTTTTAACTGTAACATGAAAGATGAGCCATTAACACCAAATTTTGTTCCCAGAGTATCAACGGATTTCCACTGTCACAAAAAACTTACTACTTACTAGCAGTAAGTTTTAAGCACTGGTCAGCTAATTTACACTGAAAATATTTACCAGCCTCACAAAATTTAAACTGAAGTAGTATACCGGGTATCAATTTTTAAAACCAAAATTCTAATTCAAATATTAAATACATTATAATGAAACAAAAACCTTAGGAAACTGAAGCCGTTCTAGATTCTCAACTACAATTAGAATCTGAAAAAAAGGCCTACTGCCCTTACTTTTCCCCAAAAAATACTATTTATTATTAGTAGTTCATACAATACTTTTCCTTTTTTTTTATTATGTTGTTTTGGGTTTTTTTGGGAGGCTTACAACAGCATATACAATCTTTCCAGGCAAGTATTAAAAACGTAGAATACAAACAATAGTTTCTTATATAAAGCCTGCTTCTCCTGCTGAATTTTATTTACCTAGCTATTTATTACTAGTTTTTTTGAGACAGGGTTTCTCTTTGTAGCCCTTCCCATTTGGGAACTCACTTTCTTAGACCAGGCTGACCTCAAACCCAGAGATCCACCTGCCTCTGCCTCCCAGGTCCTAAGGATTAAAAGGCGTTGTGCAACCACTGCCCAGCTTCATTTGCTGAACTTTAAATGACCATGACAAAGGTTACACAATCATCACGACTTAGCCGTCTCAAAACAGAAACATCGAGTCAAGAATCAAGCTAGTCAAATGGACCTTTTAAGTGCTCTCCAGCAAGCTGGAGAGATGGGTCAGTGGTTAGGAACATTGGCTTGATCTTCCAGAGGTCCTGAGTTCAATTCCCAGCAAACACATAGTGGCTGACAACCATCTGTAATGGGATCTCAGTCTCTCTTCTAATGTGCATAAAGACAGGGAACTCTAATACGTAAAGTATATATATATAGTGTGTGTATATACATATATGTGTGTGTATATACACACGCACGTGCTCTAGCAACCTAGAAAATGTGTGTGACATACTGAAAAACAGCAATTAGCAAAACTGGCTGCTTTCCAGAGGACCCAGATTTGATTCCCAGCACCTACACTTTGGCCTACAACTGTAACTCCAGCCCCAGGGGATCCAACACACTCTTCTGGCCTCCTTGGGCCCAGGTATGCACAGACTATAAAAGCAGGCAAAACACCCATACACATAAAACAATTTTTTTCCTTTTTTTTTTTTTTTTTTTTTCAGGATCCGTGTGATCACTCTGAGATAAAGTGCTCTTCACAGAAGCTAACAGCCCAAGTTTGCTCCCTAGAACCCACGTACAGGAGGAAGAGAACCAACACCACAATGTTGTCCTCTGACCTCCACAGCAGCCATGTAGCACTGATACATGGATTTTTCCTAAAAAGTTTTCTAGCACAAACCAAGTATATGGTGGAAGTGACGTGTATTCCCAGTATTTGGGTGGCAGAGGCAGGAAAAAGGTCATCTTTAGCTATGACAACTACAAGGGCAACCTGGGCTAAAAGGGGCTGTCTCAAAAAAATAAAAATGTTATTTTCTTTTTACTTACTAGTGCATGTACCTGGTTGAATGTTCTGTGTGCATGCATGTGTGGAGGTCAGGGCCCAACTTCGTTAAGGGTGGCTCTCTCCTTCCACCTCTCATGGGTTCCAGGCCCATGACTCAACTCAGGTTGCCAGGATTACGTAGCGAGGACCTTCATATATTGAGTCATCTCACTCGTCCCAAGAACCACTTTCTAGAAAATGTTTGACACGTTCTAACTTTATCTCACATGTAGTTTTAAACATACAAATACACTTTCACTATTTTGAAGGCCAAAGTTATAAGGCAGTTGACTTTGTAATATGTATACCTCCTTTTAAAGCATTGAGTGCTGTCTTCAAGGCACAGTAGACACCCAGATCAGCAGATTAATTGCACTTACTTATTTATACATAAAATGTGCACTAAGTCTAACCATTATAAAAACTGATGAAACTATTAATGTGTGCACATTGAGAGCAGTCCTATCCACTGGTAAACATTTTACAACTAAGAACTTGGCTTCAGCCAAATTTTTCAAATACTGTCTCCAAAACATCCAACATTCAAAGAATATAAAAACAGAAATACAATTATTACATTACACTAGAGGTCAAATGTTTTCACATGCTAAGCAAAAGATCTCAAGTCCACAAACATGCTTTTCAGGGCCATTAATACATTTATTCAATGCATTTAGTCTCTTAAAATATACTTGGGGATCCTTGAATCAGAATGTTTTAAAAATTACTGCCAATTTTCCATTACTTAAAAACACCTTGGCAATGGATATAACTCAGTCAGCAAAGTGCTCACCACAGAAGCATGGGGACAAGTGAGTCCCCAAGACACACATCAAAATTACATTCTAAGTAACGGTTCCTTTCTCACACCCCAACTTTAAGCCTCATTTAGAAAAAGTGGCCATGATTCCTGTGTATGCCTAGAGTTGACCTGTGCACTCTAAGTTACAGTGTCGGGCTGGGTCTGGATCATACACAATGGAAATTTCACTAGCACTGCATGCATGTGGAAAGAAATATTCCACGCCTCTTCCCATTCCTACAACCGCTCTACAACCATTTGAAACTCATATTCATCCTCTATAACCACTTGAGTCTCACATATTCAAAACAGCCTTCTGAATAGCTTCCACCTGCCATGATTACCACAGCTTGCTTATATTATCATTTTCAGAAGTACTTATGTAAACGCTCATAAATCAAAATAGTTTGCAGTGCTTTGAAAAGGGAAACAAAAAGTACTTTGCAAAACAGTGTTGATAAAACTCATACAAATCAATGTGAGCTAAGAAATTAGGACTTTTTCAAGTTATGTTTAATAAATTCATTAAGTGAAAAATTATATTGCCAGCACCTCTGTACACCTTTTTTAAAGTAAATATTTGTTTACAATCCCAGCATCTGAAATCAAGAATCTAAAAATAAGAGGCTAAAGTAAAGAAAAATTAAACCAGACTTTCTTATCCATATCACTGCAGTATTTTAAATGCATCGGACTACAACAAACTCAAAAGAAAAAAAAAATAGTGTTTTATTAACTACCACACTGTTATAATACACTTTAAAGGTACAATAGGGAGCCTTTAAATCTGAGGTGGTCTTAAACAAACGAACAGAATCCAACTTCTTCAAATAGGTGAAATGCTGCAGTTATAGATACATTTAGGAAAATTGTAGAGCTCTTACAAGACCAGCAATGTAATTTTATTTTGTACATTTTTAATTGAAAATATAAACAATAATTAAAAAATAAAAAGAAAATACAGCATAATAAAAAACATACATTTCTCAATTAAATGTATTGGATACATATAAATTTTAAGGGAAGAAGCAAAAAAAAAGGAAAATGGTTGATATTTAAGTGCAGACTATCTAGATTTAAAAAAAATTTAAAAAAATATCATAAAGCCTCTAGTTTCTATGACTAATATCCATATGATTGGAGTATCGTCACTGTGGAAGTGATTTTGTTATGTTTGCATATGTTATACTTTATTGGTAATTTACACGATGGCTTTTAAGGCCCTGGCAGACATGGTTTTTGGAAACAAGATTAGATTTAAAAAACAAAAACAAACAAAAAAAAAAAATCATTGCTAAGACGCAATATACCTTATTATGACTTTTTGGTCCTCCAAACTTCAGGAAAAGGGGTAATTCACTAGAACATTTTTTTTACCACCCAAATGCTTCAACCTACACATTTTAAACTTTTTAAAAACATTGGTTATATTGCCCAACTTCATTATTGAAAGAATATTAACAAGACATTATTTTGGCAAATTAAATCTTAAACATGGCTTTTCAACAGGATTTAAAAGGTGACTATCCCTAAAGGTCCATGTTAAAATGTAGTTTTCAAAATCTTACAAGAGTAATGCTTAAAATATTGTACAGTTAACCTAATTAAAATAATTAGCTTCAAAATGACAAATTGATAAGCTAAGTAAAGCCTACACTATGTAACATTTGCTTGGAAACTTGATTTGTCAGTTATGCATAATAAAAATTCCAGTTATCAAGAAAATTACAAAAATTTATCATAACATGATTTCTTTCACCCACCAACTTTTTTTTTTTTTATCTTACAATAGATAAATACCAACAGTTTCTCATTTTTACACTAAACCACACAGGATTGATGCATTTGGTTAGACTACCATTCGCATTGTTAAATTCAATTTTCTCTTTATATAACTTGGTAAAATTTCATTTCTTCTAGATTCCAAAAGTACCTACAAAACCCATGCAATTTTACCATTTTTTTTTAATATACTATGGAATATCATACAAAGTAAGGCATTTCAGTGTCATGTATAACCAAGTTACTGTCAATCCAAAAATTTTTGCACATCAATAAAAAGATATCTAAGAACTTAGGAACAATATTCTTCTCACTACTGTATAAAAATAACCACAATGAATAAGTATTTGTGTAATATTTACTCCATTGTCTCATTTCCAGAAACTGTGACAAGCTGTAAAGGTATTTCAGTGTTGGTAAGGATGTCTTGATTGCTGGTGGCAGAAGTATTGACAGTTCCTATCCCTGACACAGACCCCTGTTGAATATTTGCGAGGATAAGTGTCGTTCCTCCTGCAGTAATCAAGGTGTCATCTCTCCCAGCTTCCATAGATGCTAGCACTGTACTGCTAGAGTGAATAACTTTTTTATTTTGATGTGTTTTAATATGTTTGGCAAGGTGGTCACTTCTCATGAAGCGTTTTGAACATTCTGGACAAACAAATTTCTTTTCACCTGTAAAAAAAAATTAAACTGCTTAGTTTTAAAATTATACTTTTACAGATTAATGGGGGGTGGGTGGTCTCTCCTGAAACAGAAGGTCTACATACTGATGCTGGACTGTTATAATATTAAAACAAGACTTTAAGACTTCATGCTGAGAATCTGATCTGGAACCTGTTGATAAATGCCTGCTAAAACCACCATCTGTATCACTTCTTTTAAAGTCTAAACTGTATCTTTTTAAAATATTAACACATTAAACCTTGAATAAGTATGAATTCATTTAAATCAGAATAGTTCTAGACACAGAATTTGAGTATTCAATGAGATAAATTCCAAGAATGGAGAGAGCTACCTGACCTGATTTCAGCTGAACATCAAGGGCAAGCTAACATAGCAACGTCTACTGGTTATCAAAATATTAATGTTAACATGTGCTAACCCTAGCTTATTTTCCAGCTAAAACAAATCCTCACAAACAAACAAAACACACACACGAGACTGAACTTCAATTAGGGTCAAGACCTACCATGCAGGATTATTTACAGAAAGGCAAAAGCCAATCTACTAGATCCCTCCAAGGTATGGAGCAGTAAGTCTAATAGGTATTTTTTTTTTCTTTCAAATTGTTTATATTGAAGGGTGACTTGCAGGTTGAATGATTTTTTTAAGGTGTTGTGCAGATTCTACTACCTAAAGATCTCGTAAAGATCTCTGTATTTCAGTCCTACTTTACAGGTAAGGATCACGTCCAAATGCTTATCTTCCCACAAAGTTCTACTTCCAGCAATGTAGTACCATTTTTCTTGGGAAGTATTTCCCAAAGTCTCTCTTGAAACACCAACCAGAAGAGATGTTCCACTGCATGTTATCAGAAATGCTACACACATTACACCCCTAAACTAAAAGGGTACTGTGTTTATTGTATACTCAATATCAAAATTTTAAGAGGTTCTTAGAGGTTCAAAGTCCTTCTTTAGTCTATACCCGACTGAGTAATCAAATAACCCACACTCATTTGATCCAACCTGCAGAAAAAAAATATACATTCTTTTTCAAAACCTACTGAGGAAAATTCTGCTGGGATCCATTAGGGTCTACACTCCAATCACTCAATGTTACCATGTCTAGAACGTCCTCTCCTGAGCATATTCAGCACAGACTGCAACAGGAAGTCCTGTGACCCATACTCTTTCGTTAGTTTCAAAGAGATTAATCTCATTTTTCTCTTCTTTATAAGAGCAAGAAACAGAACTAAAACAAGCAGAGGATCTAATGTGCATATTGCTGCCTCATACTTGAAGGACACCTTATATGACATTCAAAGTCAATGAAGAGTTGTAAAGCAGAGACCATGTGGTTGCCTAACCTAACAGACAACTGCAAGGAGTCAAACTGTATCAGACTTGAAAATCCATGTTGTTCACTGAACCATGCTTCTTCCCTCTAAGCATTTCTTTACAAGGTCAATTTCCAATCTTCAACACTCCATCCACACAGGCTGATGGACACTTGGATCATTAATTTTAGCATAAGAAATTATATTATGTTAGACTTCAGTTTGAGTCATCTCAACAATCACTATACAACACTATATAAAGAATTTTGACAATGAATATCTCAATGAAATGTGCTTTCTTCTCCTAAGATATTCAACAGAAGAGATGAAATGTCACAATTTCTTTGCTAGCACAGTAAAAGAAACAACTAATTTAAAATTGGTCAACAGAATAAACAGTATAAAAGTGCTTTAAGACATTCAAAAGTCAGCCAGGAGGCAGAAGCAGGCAGATCTCTGTGAATTTGAGGCCAGCCCTGTCTACAGAGCTGAGTTCCAGGACAGAGAAACCTTTTTTCAAAAAAACAAAACAAAACCAGTCTAACAACCAACAATCAATGAAAGCTAAGCTAACTGAAGTCTAAATCAAATAACAACTATTTCACGGTCAGGCACGGTGGCACTTTATTCCCAGCACTCGGGAGGCAGAGGCAGGGGGGTGTCTGTCAGTTCGAGGCCAGCCTGGTCTACAAATGAGTCCAGGACAGTCAGGGCTATTAAACAGAGAAACCTTGTCTCAAAAAACAAAAACAAATAAACCATTTCACAAGAAAATCTATATTGGGTTGTCCTTTGAAATTTAAATTAGTGTTATTGGAATGTTATTATCTAATTAATCCCATTTTAAAGAACTGATTAAGTATGCTGAAAAAAAACTCTAGAATGTCAGACGGCCTAACTTCATTTTGTCTGTTAAAACGACTATTAGAGAACAGGGATACAGCTCAGTGTTTTTATACAGTGTTTGTATACACCTGGGTTCAATCCCTAACAAAGGAGGGAGCAAGGGAAAGGGGAAACAAAAAACGTTAGTAACCTGTGTGTGTCCTTCTGTGCCTCTGTAATTCATCACTCCGTGTAAATCTTTTACCACAGAACATCCAGTTACAAATAAATGGGCGCTCCCCAGAATGCCAACGCAGATGAGCTCTCAGATGTGAGGTTTTCCCATAAACTTTACCGCATCCTGGTATATGACAAATGTGTTGCTTCTTTTTCCCAAGATTGGTACCTCTAAAAAACACACAGAATAACATACATTTATATCAAAGCTCTCAAAACCATTTACATCATATAATTTCTTGAATTTTTAACAGAATACAGTATCACCAAGAGAAAAATAAGAAACCAAAACCATTAAGTCTATTATATGAAAATGTATTTTAAACATACAAATTTAATGTATTAATTTTATTCCAGAACGGATTGTTATCTGAACTTAACTATATTCAATAATGATGTAACTAAAAGGTTGCTTCATACACAAATACACAATAAAGCCTTTAACTATCCCATCAAAATCGTCCGCAAATTCTATGCATAGAACCAATTCAACTATTACAGGAAACTAGTTTTATTTAAAGTCATGATGTCAGATAATTTATTATGCAAAGAATAGCGTACAAGAACTCATTAGAGGTGCAGTTAGAAGGCAGACTGGCAGCCTAAGCAGGTCTAAATTAACATGACTTAAGATCTTTTAAGTACCCAAATGGTCATACCCTGACATACACTGACTTGGAAAACCACATTTTTAAAAATTAGCTACAGCTGTGTTCTTAACTTTCCTAGAATCCCACACAACAAATACAAATCAAAATTACCTTTACTTGTTAACCCCCCCCCATAAACCATGCAAACAACCAAAATTATTCACAAGAAATATAACAAAATACCATTTTCTCCACAGTGCAAAATTTTACATTACACTTAAGCATTTGATACAAAGACAGTTTGGGAGACGAGTGAACAGAGGCATCTTAGTCTAAGCAAGAAGAAACTTTTTTGAATCCGAAAACTGTATTTCAATAGCATTAAGCACTACAAAAACATTTCTTGAAAACAAAATTTACGATTGTTACTAAATATCCTTTTCAAAACATGACTTTTGGACATAATTATCAAAGCTACACCTTATAAGCTTTACAATGTTTCTATAAGATTAAAAAAAAAAAAGGCACCTTTAACCCCTCCCCAACTCCCCTCCTCCCTCAATCTCAGTCTCTGTGTAGCCTGTAAACCTCCACAACTACCAAATCCTCCTGCATACAATATACCTATCGCTTTTCAAAGTTCACTGGAAAACCACATATTCCCCCACATTTATATTTTAATGTACTCACACTCAGTAGCATGTGAAATTGCCATAGGACAAACAGTGCTAAACGGTGCAGTGCTGGCTGTTAGATGCCATAGGTGTTCTGAACAGGGAGACATCAATGTGGGCTCCAGTAGTTAGAGAAGGCTTCGTGGAGGAGGTGGGTAGGATTTAGATAGAAAGGAGGGAAGGCATTCCAGGCAGAGGAATAGCATAAGTAAAGACAAGGAGGAATCATGCTGTTGTCTCAAGGGCAAGGACGTCATAGTCTAACACATTCTAGCTCTGCTCCAGTCCACCCCCAGTTCTAAGTCTTAGAGAGACTTTAGAAGAGTCTTTAAAGAGCTGAGTTGAGAAAAACAGGTTTTTCCTGGCTTATTTTCAATGCTCAATTCTTGTTTCCATTTAATTCAGCTTTTTAAAATTTGCGTTATTCTTAAGTAGACCTAACAGAACAGTGTCTTCATTGGTATTAATATTGCGTTCACCATAGCAATTTCACAGGAAACCCAGCTCAGTCCACTCACGACCTCACATCTCTTTGCTAAGGCTACGTCTTGGTGAACTAGTGTGATTCCATCAACTCAAAAGTGTAATTTCACAAACTTAGCAAAATTTAGCCTGTGAGCTCCAACAAAATACAAGACTAACAAATGAACAGCAACAAACATGGGTTCTCAAAGGACTGAGAAAATGGTAGAGAAAGGCTTTTTTTTTCTGTTGAATTATAAGGCAAATGAAGGAATAGTTATTAAAAAATGGGACATATGTCTAAAGAAAAAATTAAGTTGCATATAATTGTATTACAATTTAAGGCAAATGCTTAGCTGCTGAGGTCCAAGTTAATACTTAAGAAAATCTGCCCCAAGCTGAGATCTAGAATAGACCATTGTATTCACGGCCTATCCTGCGAAGGAAGGTAAAGAAAGAGCTCTTCAAGTATAATATTTCATCTTGACCACACTAATGTCCATTACATGTAAACCCACATAATTAACAATTTTAAATTTCTGTTCTTGAGGGCCTAAACTTGTGCCCAATAATTCAATGACAAGATAGCAACACAGAATAAATCTAAACTCTGGGCAGAGCTTAAAAAAGTTAAATAACTACAGCCTCTTTTGCTTATGGTGGCAGAAACACAAGCTGAAATGCCGACAAAACAAACTTTGCAAAATAATTTAATGGACTGATGCTTAATTCATGCAAAACCCATGTAACAATAATGCCTTTGGATCATTTTTGCATTGTCACAGTTATTTCTTCAACTAGCCACTAAAGTCTGGTTCTGGTAAATAAAGACTGGCTAACTGAACAGTTTTAATTTTTTTTAGTCTAAATCTATTATTTTATTTTATATGTTGAGTGCTTTTCCTACATGTATGTCTGTGCACTGCAAGCACACAGTGCTCCATGGAGGCCCAAAGAGGGTGCTAGATACCCTGGGACCTTCTAGTTATGGACGTTTGTAAGATGCCATATGGGTGTTGGAAACCAAACCTGGTCCTCTGGGGGAAAAAAGCTCTTAACTGCTCTTAACTACTGAGATAATCTCCAGGGCACGAAATACCTTTCCTTTATAGCTTGCTCTAAAAAGTAAATCTTAAATTACAGAATGCTCTTAGGCTATTTGTTAATGCACTATTTATACAAGTAATGCATACATACTTGTTAAATTCTGTTCAAATCAGTTCTAAAAAACTAAACTATCCTAAGAACCTTGATTTTTACTTAGAATAAGTGAGCTAGTAAAAACCAATGAAATAAATTCTGTGAGAAAAAATTGCTTTCTATAGGTAAAACTTTTAGCATCCAAAAAACTATACTGTTTTGTTCTTTGAGGTTCTTTGAGCTTAATGCATTTTGCAGACCACTGACATAGCAATGTAGAAAGAACTGAGAAAATATACTTGTACATGTGAAAGTTCACATAAATTAACAGTTCCACAAGACAAGCAATTCACAAAATAAATTTTACAAAATTAACTATTGGAAATGTTCAACCTCACCAAGCAATAAACAAACACAAACTAAAATAAATGAGCTATTTCTTGCCTATCAAACTTTAAAAGGTTAAAAAAATAGTAAAAATTAAGAGTTGGTTATACATGGCAACACAAATATCCTAGGACACTGCTGACGTTAAGTAGAAAGCGAGACAGCTATTTAGCAGACAATTCCTTTCAACTCAGCAGTTCTACCTCTGCCAACATACACTAATGAGACAATCAGACAGATATGCAAGGACATATGTGGGAGCATTATGACAAACTCAAAGGAGAAAGTTAAGTTATTATATATCCACATGCAATAGAATACCATACATAGATAGGTTAAGAATGACACAGATCAGACTTGGAAATACAGCCACAAAAATTTACAAGAGACATAACAATGAGAATAAGATGGTTCTACTGTAAAATACATGTGATATTGCACAAAGACGTTACAGGGTTAGATCTTGAGATAGTATATAATTTCTGGGGCTTTTCTGTTTTGTTCCTAAACACTCTTCTACTTCCCCTGAATTTATGGGACATGTTAGCTTAGCAAATTAAAAATGGTGTTTAACTTTAAATAAGTGAAACAAGGCCAAGCACCGACCCTCAATTAGATTTGATGAATAAGGTATCTGGTAAGTGACTCTAAAAGAGAGTAAATTACAGAAAAGTTAATAAATAAAAGTATTTATTAAATATTATCCAGAATTTTACATTCATTATCAATAAGAAGAGCCACTGAGTTAGAACAAAATGTAAGGGTTAAGACTTGGGAGTATTATTATAAACGGATCAAAACCCCAGTTGTACAATGTTTTGGGTCTGTTTCTGGTTTTTACCTCTCTAGAACCCACAGTACACTACAGCTCAAGCTGGCCTCAAACTCTGAGGCAAACACTGAGCCCATGTGTGTGTAATTCAGCTATGGGTGATACATATATGCCATTTAAAAGAACATCATAAGTCTTCAAATGTTAGCAGCTATCAGTCCCCTCCCTTTTTGTGGTTTTCAGGCCTCACTGAGAAATACCTCTGCCCTAGTTATTACTGTTGCAAATGAACAGATCAAAGTATAAATCAATTAACAGCAGCAAGCAGAGAGCTGAAAGATAATCAAGTTTATAACTATGTGCATTTATATACACAGTTACACTATCAGCATATTTTGCACACTTAAAGTAGTACATAGGAGAAGATATTGTGGGTCCATCACAATAATGACTAGGGATTTCCTTAGCACAACCTTATCATTTTGTCTTTGCCTCACATACTTCAAAGCTGGGCAAACAGATATTATGACTACTGAATCTGGACAGAAATATCATTGTTGTCATTATGAAAAATAATCTGGCCTAACACTTCCGATCTTGCTAGATACCAATATTGCTGTCCAACTTTTCTTTTTGCTAACATTTGACTAACAAATCCTTCTTCATTCTCTCTTCAATAACATTGTACCAATCATTTGAAATGTTTCTTATAACATCAGGACGGACTTTGTTTTTTTGTTATGATCTAAGTCCATCTTTTAATAAGCATACTTACTAAATAAGCTACCTTTAAAGTAATTATCAATCATTTTGAGCTTATTATCACATTATTTTTGTCTTAGATTATCTTTGTAAAAAAGAATGAGGTAGAATACTACTGTGCTATTGTCAAAACAATAAATTCCAATCATTAAGGCCGTTCTTCTATTTCTGTTGAAAATGGAAATTGACTATTTCTGAATTTCTTACTTTTATATAGCATCTTCAAGCTACAATCTTCTCTGTATGTAGGCCAAACTCATTGTTGGTTTGCAAACAAGCTAATAAAATCAGGCCTATAAAATTGTGTGTTATTTTTTTTAAAGACTAAGCAAATTTAGTTTAAAAGGCATTTAGATATGAAAATTTGTATACATTTTTGTCTAACTTCTGCCACTCATACAGTCACACACCCAAAATGATTATGTGATGAATAATTATCGCAGTTAAGTGACACAGCATGCAGCATCTTAAAACAACAACGCATGGCTGGTGTGTGCGTACCTCCCACCACCTTCTTTACAGTTGGGGCAGGTGCAAGCCACCCTCCGCAGTCTCTTTCCTTCCTGGTGCTGGTCCCCTTCTTCATCGACCACTTGTACTCTTAAGTGTGTCAGGTCATTGGTGTTCAACGTAGAGTCACCACTGAGCTGCCACTCTTCAGGATCGGGTTCTTCTTCCTTGATCCTAATATCTAAAAATAAAAAGAGTGTTGGCACACATGTGCATGAGATGTAGCCTATTGGTTTAAAAAAACAAACATTAGTTTCAAACTTTTCTAAGTTAAGTAAGTACTACATAAGGGAAAACTCAACTGTTCATTTTCTTTCAAAACAACCTATTTTGTTTTTAACAGATTTAGCAGAATAGGAAATAAGGCAAGCAGTTGAGCTTAGTTTTTAAAAGATCCAGTAACCACACACAGAGAAATCCTGCCCCCCCACCCAAGTTCCAATGAGAAATGTAAAACTTCAAATGCAGTTATTCAATTAGTCAACTGAGGGACTGGAGGGCCAAACCTGAGACCGCACAGTCTTTTAAATTTTATTTTGAGATTCGTTATTAAGTTTCTCAGACTGGTCCTGACTTGCAACCTGCCTCAGCATACCAAGTAGGTGAGGTTGCAACAGCAGGCCCAATTAACTTCTCAATAAATTTAATGATCAAGTTAGCCTGGAACACGTCTTTAATATCGTACAACTGGTTGCCATTCTATCTCTAGGTACCATCTGAATGTAAAGGAATGCATTCACAGGGTTAAGGATTTACCTCAGTGAGCATAGTGCCCTGCCTCAAAAGCATGAGGATCTTGGTTCAGACCCCAATACCCACATAGAAGTTGAGCACTGCAGTACACAGGTCATGCGGGTGCAAGGCATCCAGGAGGGCACACACTCCAGATTCAGAAAGAGATTCTGCTTCCAACAAAAAGTAAGGTGTACAATTGAGGCAGACACCCAAGGTCAATTGCCAGTCTACATTCACATACATTCACAGTGTGAATCTACGGCAACTACACTTTTCTCAACCCAGAAAACTGGGTATGTAAATCTAAATATTTTAAATATTTATTAATCACTATTACTTTAAACAAAAATAACCTTGAAAATAAAGTGTGCAAGGGTAAAGATGTAGCTTGGTGATAAGAGTACCCAAAATTTGATCCCCAGAACCAGGAAACATAAGACAAAATGTACCTTAAAATGCCTTTTTTTAAAAAAATTATACTTTACTTACTTTGTATCCCCCCTCTAGTTCCCTCCCTTCCTCCCCCTGCTCCACACATTCCCCTCCCCAAGTCCACTGATAGGGGAGGGTTTCTTTTTTTTCCTTCTGATTCTAGTCTGTTAGGCTTCATTATGCATGGAGATAACCTAAAACCCCTGCACAGATGTAGCCCATGGCAGTTCAGTGTCCAAGTGGGTTCCATAGTAATGGGAACAGGGACTGCTTCTGACATGAACTGATTGGCTTGCTCTTTGATCACCTCCCCCTGAGGGGGGAACAGCCTTACCAGGCCACAGAGGAAGACAATGCAGCCACTCCTGATAAAAATGCCTTTTTAAAAACAATACTGCAAACTTAATCACACAAATAAATCTAGGGGAAGGTATGGAGAGGTGGCTCACTGGTTAAGAGCACTGGCTGTGCTTCCAGAGGAGCCCAGGGTTCAATTCCCAGCACCCACATGGCAACTCACAACTGTCTATAAATCTGGAACTAGAATTACACCCTCACACAGACAGACATAAAAGCAAAACACCAATGTCCATAAAATAATAATAAATCATTTTTTTAAGAAATCTAGGGGAAGCTGGATGGTGGTGGCTCACGCCTTTAATCTCAGCACTCAGAAGGCAGAGGCTGGTGGATCTCTGAGTTTGAGGTCAGCCTGATCTACACAAAGTTCCAGGATAGCCAAGACTACACAAAGAAACCCTGTCTCAAACAAACAAACACGCACCTAGGGGGAAAAAAGAAGAGAAGGAACTCTGGCCTGGGCGGTACTGTAGATGTTAGTACAAACCCATGACCTAAGAATTACATAGACGGGGTTGGGGAGCTGGCTCAGCAGGTAAGATTGTGCTGCTTTTGTGAAGGAGCCAGGTTTAGTTGCCTGCACCCACATGGTGGCTCCAAATGCCTAGAATTCTAGTTGCAGAAGATCCAACAGCCTCTTCTGGCCTCCAAGGGTGCCTGCACTCACATGACACAGCCACACACAAACACAAACATATAATTATTTTGTTAACTTTGAAATTTATTCCTATTCTTAATTATGTGTATCTAACTATGTACATATAAATGCAGGTACTCCTGGATGCCAAAGACATTAGAACCCTGTGGAGCTACATACAGGTAGCTATAAGGCACCTGCCACGAGTTCTAAGAAACTTGCATCCTCTGCAAAAGCAGCAATGCTTTTAACCACTGAACCATCTTTCTCCTACCACCAACACATACATACAATTAAAAATAAAATATTTTTATTTTAAAAATAAAGCATTAATAGCAAGTATAATTGGGCACATATTGTACATATAATGTAGTCTCAGATCTGAGATGATTAAGGCAGGAGGTTTATAAATTTGAAGCCAACCTGATCTACATAGCCAAACAAAACAAGGGGCTAGAAAGATGGCTCAGTGGCTAAGGACACATCCTACTCTTGCAGTAGACCCGAGTTCAGTTCCTAGCACCCACATCAGACAGTTTAAAAATGCCTCTGGCTTCTGTTGTGCACCCACAGCCATGTTCCTCTGCACACAAATAAAATAGTCTTAGTATAGAGTATTTTTAAAAGAAAACAACTTTTTAAATGTGTTTGAGAGACATAGCAGAAGCTTGGATGTTAGAAACAACAAGAAGGGCTCTGTTGCCAGGTGTGGTGGCTCACAACTTTTTGTTCCCAGCACTAGGGAGGCAGGGGTAGGCAGATCTCTGTGAATTCAAGGCCAGCCTGGGCTACATAGGGAGTCCAGGACAGTCAAGGCTACCCAGAGAAAGCCTGCCTCTGAAAAACAAACAAACAACAAAAAAAAAGTGCTCTGTTCTGAAAGACAGCAAAGACGATTATGTCTAGCAGCTTATGAGAAAGACCTAATATGTTTCAGGAAAAGATAATAACTGACTACTTTAAAGGTGTAGCTGACAGAGCAATCAACTTTTCCACTGTTAAAGGAAAAAAGAACACATTTACTCATCCAGGTATTTCAACAATTACATATTATGAGCCTATATGCAGTGTGAGGCTCATCTGGTGGCTGAAATTTTAAAAAGTAAAGGATATTTAATTTGTTGCTGCTGTATTTTTAATAGAGAATCAAATATAAAATCTTTCCAGATATTATAGATAATAGTCTCTGTCCTTTTATATTGTGTTCAAGTATAACATGACAGACACCACACAAACATTGCACAGGTTTACAGTACATAAAATGAGAATTTTATCAGATGTTTTAAAAAACTGATACATGTCATTTAAGTCTCAATTTTTTACGTGTTTACTCAACATCTTGTTATACTCAGACAGGGAAAAAAACCAGGAACAAGATATTGTAAGAATATATCTTAAAAATACAGACTAAAACGGGGCTGTTGAAGAGTTCAAGGCCAGTATGGAGCTTCACAATGAATTCCAGGCCACCTTCAGCATCAGTGTGAAAATCTATCTTTAAAAAACAAAACAAAAACAAATTTTTTTTTTAAAGAAGGAAAAATGTAATAAACCAAGTGCTGTATCCCAACACTCAGGAGGCAGAGGTAGGAAGACTGCATCAAGTTTGAAGCCAGACTGGCCTACAAAGAGACTACTTGCAGGCCAGCTAGGACTACTTATGACCCTATCTATCAAGAAACAAAGAAAGAGGCAGGTGGATCTCTGTGAGTTCGAGGCCAGCCAGTCTACAGAGTGAGTTCCAGGACAGCCAAGGCTACACAGAGAAATAAAACAAAACAAAACAAAAACCAAGAGAAAGAAAATCTACCTATCTGAATAGGAACCACCCATACTTAAAGACCAGCTAGAGAACAAGCATACAAAAAATAAGCATGGAAAAGAATAGAAAATCTGAGGGAATGAAGATACTTTAGAACACTGGTTCTCAACCTTCCTTATGCTGCAATCCTATTAGTTCTTCACATTATGGTGACCCTCAGCCATAAAACTATTTTTGTTTCTACTTCAGAAATATAATTTTGCTAGTTCCGAATCACAATGTAGACATCTGGTATGTAACCCCCGAGAGGGCCGTTTGACACCCCCACAGGGTGTCACTCCCACAGGCTGAGAACCGCTGCTTTAGAACACTCTCGTTTTCTATTGCTAATTCTCTTTCTGAACCTTCAAAATATGCTTAAAGAATGTGTCACCAAATAGCTGTTAACAACTTAGTTTTCTTACTGTACAGACACACACAACTTGGGCATGTTCAAACAGAACAAATTTTGTCCACCAAAGACAAATCTCCTTGTATATCCTTGGCATTAATATATATCCGAGCCACTCAGATATCAACTTCAGCAAAGGTCTACAGTGCAGGCTAGGCTCTCTTTCGTCTTCTTCTCTTAAGCCATCTTATACTCGACCTACCAAAATCTTGTTCCTAAGTGAAAATATAACTACATCTCTTTATTGAGTCAATGTAATACAACTAATTTTCTATTTTCTCCTGGATTAAGTTCCAAAAATCAGGGAAGAATTTTAAGAGATTAAAAATATTCTATTATTATAACAAGCTAATAAGAGTATGTATTTATCCAAGCACACAGAATGCACACCACCAAGAAAGAATTCTAATATAGAATATGTGACTGGCTGGTTTGTCAGTGTAGTCACCAAACATAACAAATGTGCCACTCAAACAGAAGACACTTATTCCAGGAGGGAATGTGGGGTTGGGGAGGGAATGAGGGAGCGGGATACAGCTGGGACACAGAGTTAACAAAATGTAACTAAAAATAAAAATAAAAATAAAAAAAAAAGAAGACACTTATTCCATGGATAACTAGATATAGGAAGATTTATGTGTTGCAGGAGAACCAATTTCTTTATCTGTGTTTTATTTATCTTCTAAAAATATATAATTAATGTACATGATTTATGTTTCCTGAAAATTGTACTTCTTTTTATTATAGTTGCATCTCCAGTTTCCAGTCTTTTTCCCCACTTATGTGAGCTGAAACTCACAAATT